TTTGGACAACTTTAAAGGCGATTTTCTCAATATTTAGATTGTTTTGCCCCCTCAGATTCCAGATTTTCAAATAGTTGTATCTCGGCCAAATATCGTCATATCCTAACAAACCATACATCAATGGAAAGCTTATTTATTCAGCTTTCAGATCTAGATGTATAAATCTCAATTTCAAAAAATTGACCCTTATTGCTGTTTGTTTTTTGGTCACATATAATATAATATTTAATAATAATCATATAATAATATTAAATAATAATAATCATATAATACATCAAATAATCTGACCAGACATTTCTGTAATAATTATGACAGACCTACTTTTATTTAGAAGATCTCTTGTGATGTTATGCGCTTGCTTTTTTCTACAAGTTTCTGTCTTGATTTTAAAAGTATGCTTATTTGATGTTTATGCAGTCAATTTTTTCTTAATGCAGTGCTTGATGTTTTGCAGTGGTCTTGGAATTTCTACTAACACGTAACGTGGGTGCAGTGTAATCTTGTCAAAAAAAAAACTGTCCCTTTCTTTTCATGGTAAACTTAGTTGCTTGGTGCACTTTTTACATTTGAAAATTAATAAAAAAGTGCTCAGATAAGAAAAACTATGAAATGTTAGCGTTCAGCAAAAACATTTACTCTGGCGTTTATTGATGAATTAACCCCTGGGTGGTTGCTTTGTTTTGGTGTATTAGAACACTGTTCCTTAACGACAGAGCAGTGATTGGACGTGCAGCAGGGTGGGGGCGGGGCTTAAAAGCAGGACAGTCCAATCATCATCTGCGGCACTCTATTTAAGGATCTTATGAGCTGCTCAAACTAATTATTACCATCTGCACTTTCAAGAGAAGCTGTTCTGTCATCCGTGGCCTAATTTCAGTGTGTTTATGTGTACAGCAGGAGTCTGATGAACTGCTTTTACTGTGGGCAAAGTGGATCCCCCCCCCCCCAGTGACTAGCTCCAAAATGAACATTAAAGAAGTTCATACTATTCATATCTTCTGAAGCCATACAAAATCTCTGAGGGACAGACTGGCATATTTTGTGGCATAATTACGTCCATCCATTTTCTATGCCCACTTATCCTATGTAGGGTCATGGAAGAGTTCTAGAGTAAAAATAAAGTTATTCCCTGAAATTATAGAAATTAATACTTTTATTTAGCAAGGATGCTTAAAATTGATCAAAAGTGATGATAAAGGCATTTATAATGTTACAAAAGATTTCTATTTCAGATAAATAGTGTTCATATCGATATCGGAATTATATCGTATCGACCGAAATTAAGAAATATATCGTGATATCAATTTTGGCCATATCGTCCAGCCCTACCTGAAGTTAATTGTTATACTATTTGCTATTTATTTTATTTGTAATAACTGCTTCATTTGTAGTATTTTATAACATTTGGAGCTTCACAGTCAAGGTCAGTTGTTCAAGAGCTGCTTGAAGATTCTTCAAAAATTACACGATTGTCGGCTCTGATAGCTTCATGGGCAGCGTGCTGACATATAGCGCCATAGTGCTTCGGGCATCCCGAGTTCGAGTCCTGGCTCGCAGACATTTCCCAATCCCGCCCCCCCCTGCACTTCGCTACCTGTCTAGCTACTGTCCTATCAAAATAAAGGCATAAAACGCTAAAAATAAATCTTAAAGAACAATTCCATGATTGTTCATTTTTTGGGTGAACTATTCCTTTAAAGGGGTCCTATTATGCTCTTTTACAAAGTCTTGATTTTGTTTTGGGGGTGTACTAGAACAGGCTCTCATACTAGGTTGTTCGAAAAACACATTATTTTTCACATATTTTACATTATTACAACACCTCTCTCCCCAGTCTGGCATGAATGGCTCGAATAGTTCCTGTATCAAATGAAAGCCCGCCTTCTGAAATAAGAACTGTGCTGTGATTGGTTAGCTGGGCCAGTGTGTGCTGTGATTGTTGTGATTGGTCGGGAAATGTCACGCCCCTTACCATAGCCGCATGCGAGCTTCAGTGTAAATATTGCGTCAAAATCAAATCAATTTGAGCGCGATTTAAACCTGGATGATTGTAACCACTCTAAGTTCGTCTGCCTTGGGAAAGCTAGCGTGTCTCCGACATAGTGATAACACTCGTTGCCTTCTCTAGTGCAGCTCAACCAGGTCTCGTCCCATTCGTCGATATTTGTGATATCACAAATCCCGGAAAATATGCGTTGTAGTCCAAACGAGTCGTTCGTTGTAGTTTTTGAAAAGTGATTTCTGCTAAATAAAATATCTCCTTTTGAATTGGCCTTTGAGCTTTGCAACTTCGCAGATCTTTTTTTATGCTCAAACAGCAACATTACAGACTAACTAAAGTTGAAAAAGTGAAAAAGCATAATAGGACCCCTTTAAGAATCAAGTCTGATTATTCTTGAGTCATTCTTGGCTTCGGTCTAAAGTGTAAAGAAGCGCTCCAGGGAATTTAACCCCAGTGATCAGCAGTATAAGATGCTTTCAATGGAAAGAATCTGCTAAACGGCGTGCTGAAGGTCTGAGCCAGGTGTGTAGCGCTCAATCTGTCAGCTCTCAGCTGCGTGTGCAGGAATGTGAAATTACGTCCCTCTTTATCGGATGTCGTCGTAAAATGAGGCATCCCATCTTGAACCCCTAACCCTGTCCAAGAGCTGAATGGAGCTGTTTGTTGAAGTTAGCTAGCAGTTGTTGTTTATTCAGGTTGTATTCGTGCTTTTGTTGCAACTGCATATTATGTTATCGTCATCTGTGTTGTGTATGAGGTTGTGTTGTTGTTTGTTGTAATTTAGTGGAGCTTGCTAAGGAAAACAACACAGTTCATACTTAGTTTGGTTTGTAAATTATACATAAGTGATACCTCAAGTGATCACCTAAAATTGCTTTTCTAGCTCTTAAGATGTATAATGTTGGCCGGATGTTGTAAATCAAATCCTGTAAACTTGGAGAAGGGAGTTGTATCTAGAGACCAGAATACCACATATTGACACGAGGCTAGCAACACACTAATAACCAGATACGGTCTAAACCTGGAAGTTTAAATCTAGTTAACCAGAAAGTGAAATTAGTGTACATAATAATAATAATAATGTCTTTTATATAATTTTCCAGGCATACGCTCGCTTTGCTGGAGCTCCGCTCAAAATTCACAAGATTTCTAACCCCTGGAGAAGCCCCACAGGTAAGCAGGCAAAGTTTTAACAATCTGTTTCTTGGCAAACACTCCACATTCATTAAGACGAACATTTAGCGTGTGCTTTAACTGAAGCACGCAGGCCTCTTCCTCTTTCCTGCCGAGCTGCTGATAACTTGCATCTGTATGTTTTCTCTTTCCACATTCTTGTCTGTCTCCGTTATTATTTTCCTTGGCTCCTGAATTCTTCCAAATTTCAGTATTATTCCATATTGAAGACCAATGTCCCTTCAGCAGTTTTATGTTGGGTAGACCCTTTGACTTTGCAGGAACAGCTTATGCACTACATTCACTTCATCATTCTTTACAAAGAAATTAAATAAAAATAAAGACCATATAAAGTATAACAGTTCATTAGCCTTATCACATTATAGCGGACGTATGATTGATACATTTTACAGCTACTAAAACCTTAATAAATAAACAAATTACTTAGTTCTTTAATTTGTTTATTTAAAAGATCATTTTATTTATTTGTATTTTTGGAAAAAATGAATACTTATTCAGCAATTATGAATTAAATTGATCAAAAGTTACAGTAAAGACTTAGTAAAAAAATTCTATTTCAAATAAATGCTATTCTTTCGCACTATATATTTATCAAAGAATTTTGAAAAACAATGTATCACGAATTCCAAAATATATTAATCAGCACAACTGTTCATTATGTAATATTATGTTTTCTAGAGATCACGCATTTCTATTTTTGATGTCCAGAGTGATAGTCGAATGTTTAAATGGACTGCGTCATTGATTATCTTTATAGGCCTATAGAAAAGAAATGTTTTTTTTAATGTTTTTACTGATGCTGATGTCTTCACTGAAGGTTCACTTCCTGCTCTCAGGACCAAAGATGAAGGCAGCTGCTCCCAACCCAGTCAGATCATCATTCAGTTGAGGAAACAGGTGATTATCTCTTTCCTCGCTGCTGTCATGGTCAAGTTTTGCTTTTCATCAAGCATTACACAAGTGTCCCTGTATATTTCACTCTTTATTTCGGGTTCATTCGTTTGAGAACCGCAGCCTTTCCAGTGATGCCTGCTGCCATTATAAAGGCTCCCCTAATTTTCTCATTAATCATGTTTGATTGCACAGTGAAGGTACCCATTAAATTTGAATGGAATGAGACACAATAAACATGTGTTTTTAGGAAAGGTTTTAATTAGGTGCATAATTAAAACCCTTCCTAGAAACACGTTTATAGTTTCTCATTCTACCAGCAGTAGTGCTGTTCTACCCAGAGCTGCTTACAGAGTCAGGAGCATACACAGATCAGATCAATGCTTGCAGATTTATTCACAAAACACTACACAACTGGAAATAAGTTAGCATTTTTGGACTTCCGGTTTCTTAGTCCCAAAGTCAATGGGTTTTTCTTGAATAGGTTTGATTAAATGCCTGAAATAATGTCTGTGATGGACTGAAGCAACTTTTATGTAATGCTACATTGTGATGATTTTAAGCTTTTACATGACTTGGAAAAAGGCTCTTGCTGACAAGTGGCTAAATGGGAATACAGAGGTTGTCAGAAACAGGAAAGCTTGCAAACTGTTCTAACTCGGACGTTCCAACTTGTAGATTTTAAATAAAGATTAAAAGATTTGTCAAAAGCGATCGTGGTGTAGTTTGTTTATAACAAACTTTACTTCTGCCTCTTGCATTCAAACAACAAAACAATGAACAAAATTTTTGATAATCTCAAACTTTTGCTGGTCACAGAGCTTATTTTCTGCAAGAATAAAAAAGCCAATGGAAAAATCTTATTGTCTGATGACAGCAAGTCTGGACTCCATAGTTTTCATTGGTCAAGTACCGCCCAAGAGGCCATCTGACAGACATGTAAAGCAACCAGTCACAGTTTGATTTGTTCAGTGTCGTATAGTAATACTGGAAATTTGTGTTTCAGAAATACAATGCAGACTATGATCTCTCGGCCAAAGAGGGCGCAGACACTCTGGCCTTCATCTCACTGCTGGAGGAGCGACTGTTACCTGCGCTGGTGAGATTCAAACACTGGACCTTGAAGAGCAAATTTTAGTGGGTACATGCTCAAACTCTCATCTCCCTGCAGATCTACGCTTTATGGATCGATCCTAAAAACTATGTGGAGGTGACGCGCCGCTGGCATGGAGAGAATATGTCCTTCCCGCTCAACTTCTTCCTGCCGGGCCTCATGCAGAACAGGCAGCTTGAGCGACTCCGCCTGATCCGGGGAAACAGTTCGCTGGAGGCGGGAGAAGAGGCAGAGAAGGAGGTTGGTGGGATTCTGAATATTGTGTTTGTTTTTGCTGTGCGATATGCATCAGATGGTGGGTGGGCCGTGTCTGTTGTGACACTAACACCTCCCTGAGACACCAGGGCGGCTGTTAGACTCCAGCCAGAGGCAACAGTGTTCTGGTCCCTGAAGAGGACACTGATAAACCAGCAGATGTGTGGAATCTGGGCTCAAACAGAGCAGAAGTTCCGTTCTGGCAGAGAATTCGATTTTATATAGTTGCTAGTCTGATGCTCTGCTTGTTTATGACTCTGTGAGTCACAATGTGCATGCTTGTGAACTGTTCACTACGGCTGAGCAATATATTAAATGTTACGTTTGCGATGATGCTTTTAATGCAGTATGAAAGGAATAGTCCACCAAAAATGAACTTTCTGTCATCATTTACTCCCCCTTGTGTCTTTCCAAACCTGTATGACTTTCTTTTTTCTACAGAACATGAAAGAGCATATTTTAAAGAATGTCGGTAACCAAACAGTTTTGGGCTTAATGTTTTTGTCCATACACTGAAAGTCAATGGGAACCAAACTGTTTGTTTACCAGCATTCTTCAAAATATCTTCTTTTGTGTTCTGCAGAAGAAAGAACGTCATACAGGTTTGGGAAGACATGAGGGGGAGAAACGAATGACATTTTCATTTTGGGTGGACTATCTCTTCACTAGCACATTCACACCAAGAAAGAAAACTACATTCGCTTCCACACCAATGCACGATGGTGTTCTGCACTTGTGTTATATCGTCTGCTGCTTTAAATGCTCAAGCTCTTTCAAGTTGAGTTCTGATTGGCTCTTCAAAGGTGGATTCTGGTTTTATCATTCATCAGCTGTAAAAAAAAAAATCGTTCTGAAAGTGATTTCAATAACGTTCCTTTGTGTCATTAAAGTTCTAACTGTGGTGTGGTGTTTTTTTTTTTTTTATGTTTTAGAATAAATGTTGGTAAAAAATACTATCATACTATTATTATATAAATGTTGGTAATACTACTATTATAATATTTATATACTATATACTATTTAAATACTATACTAGTATACTATTTTTAAAATGCATTGGTATGTTGATCCATGCGAATAGAAATTATTAAATGTATTTCTTGTTCATGGTTATTTGGTGAGAAACATTTTAACTAATGTTTTTCTTCTTGCATTTAATCCTTTTTAATCAAATCTCTTCAGTGGCTGTTTGGATAAAACAAAGCTTCCTCTAACTGAAAAAAAAATCGGTTACACTTTGTTTTAAGGTGTCCTTGTTACAGTGAAATTATACATTTAAGGACTGAGGAATATTAATTAACTACATGTCCTTACTATATGGTTAGGATTAGGGTTTGACTTAGGGTTACTTGCATGTAATTATGCATAATTTATTGTTATTATAATAGTAAGTGCATGTAACGTGTAACAACGACACCTTAAAGTCTCTTATCAGTTTGAGCCCGATTGAGACGCAGAGGATATTATTGAAGAGGATCGTGCAGAACCTGTGCAAGCATGGCTTTTAATGGTAGGCCTATGTTTTTTTGTTTGTTGTTGTCTCATACTTTTAGATACGCTGTTATTTGTAAATGCTACTGCTTCTGTTAGCTTTTAATATACGGTTTTATTCTGATTAAAGCTTTAATACAGTTCGGCAACCACGCGCGGCGTCCATGTTTAACGCTTCTCATAACTATAGTATGTGAAAATAAGTGTATTCACTGAGCTGATGATCTGAATGAGAGAGAGATTAAAGAGAGTGTGTAGAGCAGGGCTAGGCTGCTTTTGAACATTGATTTTGAAACTTGTGAATCCATTAGAATCGTTAGAAGACAGAATCGTGATTCATATATGAGTAGATTTTTATGTGCACCTCTAGTTTTCTCTTCCTCTTCTCTAAAGCAGCGCAGCATGGCCTCGCCCCCTTTGCTGCGTGTTCCCGGAGGCGGGGTTTATGTAAAATTCTGGGTTCTTGACGTAACGGACCCGGGAAGTAACTCGTTGTAGTCCCTTACCAGTCGTTTTTGTAGGCATTAAACTGCCAGAATTTTAAAAGACGATATCTCCGTTTGCATTGAACTTTCAGCTTCGTAACTTTGCAAATATTGTTTATGATCAAACAGCAACATTACACACTAACTAACATTCAAAAAAGTGAAATCGCAATCAACCACCCCTTTAAAATAAAGTGTTACCAAAAAATGTTTTGCAAAGCAAGTACACGACTATTGAGATATATAAGGCTAAATACTGAGATATAAAACAATGACTGATAAAAGTAGAGAAAACGAACATAAGAATCTATAATCTAGTTGTTTCTTCCACATCCTCTCAGTTGTTATTATTCTCTGTGACTCTCTCCATCTTTCCCTCCAGCTTTACCACGATGCTCTGGAGTGCCTCAATCTTCTCTCTCAGCGACTGGGATCGAACACATTTTTCTTTGGCGATTCGTAAGTGTTTTACACATCAAGGTTGACCTTTAAGCTTTACTCTCAGTTGATTATGGGTTAGGTTTAATATGCATTTGATGTCTTTGTGTGTGTGCGTTAAAGGCCCTCTTCTCTAGATGCATATGTCTTTGGTCATCTAGCTCCGCTTATTAAGATCCGGCTGCCTAACTGCCGACTGCAGCAGAACTTGAAGAATCTGGACAACTTGAACACATTTTGCTGTAACATCCTGAGCTTGTACTTCCCCAGCGAGAGTAAAGGTGGGAGACCAACAACCACAGTAAAGTGCTTGCAAAGAACAAAACAGCCATTGTTCTATCTGTAGAATAAGAGTCATTGAGTCCTCATGTTCGTGCCTGTTCTGTTTGCAGAGGGCGTCAATCGTCCGATGTCCAGCACACAGCAGGGGAGCGACTTTGACAACGAGCCATACAAGAGACGCAAGCAGCTGCTGTCAGTGCTGGTCGCAGTGGCAGCGATGCTGAGCTACGCTCTCTTCACCGGCATAGTAGCTATTGAGCATGTGCAGGAGGAGGAGCCTGTAGGCCCCGCCTCACTCAGAGGCCCCTCCCATGAGGAAGAGGATGAGTGAAAGTAGGACTTTTTAGTTGCACTAGGATGGTCATGCCTACATGGTGGAAGAAAACACAGGAACAACATATTGTTGGGGATTCATGTATTATTTATTCCTTGAGCTTTATTTGCTTGATAATCTTTGGTTTTATATCTTATTTTTTCCATAGAGCTGCACTCGTTGCTTAAATCTTTTGACTGGGTATATTCACCTGTGTTAGCTACAAATGCTAAGCTAAGTTTAGCTGAAAAAGCACTTAAAACTTCACCGTCGTCACCAACCTCACTGTTCATTGTGTGGACCAAAACATATATTACAGTTTTAAATAGCTTTATGATAATGAGAATGAGATTTACATCTCTTACGTGCTATTGCCTTATTTAAAGCTCTGTGTTTTTCTTTTTACACATTTTATTTGCTTACCTGCGTTGTTCTGCTCTGCTGTCAGTACTGGACTGCTGTTATATACTTCAGAGAGATTAATACTTATGTTAATGTGATGATCCTATTGAGTGAAATAGGAAATTACCAATATTTAATGATGTTAGAGTCTTAAAGACATACAGTAAATCACCAAAAACATATAATTTATTCGACTTCATGTCTCATTCCAAACCTGTGCGACTTGGTTTCTCGTGTGAAATACAAAAGGACATAGTATGTAAAATGTCAACATTGATTTCCTCTCAATTAAAGTGCAGATTTGTGCTCCAGAAGGAGAAAAAGTAGTTCAAACAACTTGTGATCTATTTTCTAAATATTCTGCAGCCATACTTTAGTTAATTTATATAATTATTCACTAAAAATATCCCTCTTGGCTATTGGAACTTATTTGCGCTATATATTCTTATTCAAATATGCATATGCATGTTAAAATTTGGATCAGCATGTTTGATCACATGTGAGAACCATTAGCATTTGGCATCACTAATTTGTGCATTGCACATTTGAATATTGAGCCAGAATGATTATTATGGCACATTGTATAGGAAACACTGACTTAAACAGGATGATTAAAAATATCTTCTTTTGTGACAATCATACAGGTTTACATCAACACAGGGGTGAGTTAAAGATGACAGAATTTTAATTTTTGAATAAGCGAACCCTTTAAACACTTTCAGCTTACTGCAAAGGATAAAGAGGAACTGTTTTACATTATTGAGGATTAGAAATGGCACTTGCATATTTTTTAGGAGAACGTAACAGATTATTAAAGCCAAAAGTTACTGTCCAAAGAAATCTTGCTGACAGACCACAAAACTGGCAAAAGATGTTTCAGTTCCTGTAACTTTCCATGAGGTCTATGGCAGTTAAACTAAGTTTTAACAGTTTTTTTTTTTGATCTAGTTAAACTGTTTGAAAGAGAAACAATGGATTAATGAAGATGGCTGATTTGGGTATTGTTACTTATTGTTTGTTGTCTTATTTATTTATTTATTTATTTTTTCTTCTAAGCATCTTTGTTTTAGACCATAAAGCTCCAAAACTAGTTCCCTGGTGTGTTGATATGTATGTATTCATTCATAGAGATGGAAAGGAAACTACAGATTGAACAGTCAGTTAATCTCATTTCACAAGGTGTTACGGGCTGTAAATATATATTGCTTATAGAGTTCTATTTTCATAATTTAATAGGCAAATAAATGGTCCTGAATAACCTTGTTCTGCAGTGGGTTTCTTTATTTTCTGCAGTTGCAATGCTGCATTGACACAGAGGGAGTTGCTGATTTTATCTGTTGCATTGTTGTAACAAGTGACCCTGAGCTGAGGACCGTGTGTGTGAATTGGAGGTTGTAAGAGAGAAAGATATTTGTTTCAAGCTACGGTTTACCTGCCGGCAGTGTTTCCGAGCATCAGAGCTGACTGAGCGAGGGCTCTGTGAATTGGTGCCCTGGGGAGACACAGCTGTGTGTTACAGCACCAGACTGGAATCCTTCTCTGGCTCCTGTTCGTTTCCTTGTATTTGTGTGTGGAAACATAGTGAACCCCCTTCCCAGCACTAGATCCAGAGAAATCAGGAGCTCCCCGAAGCCACACGACATCGTTTAATGACCTCAGAAGAATCATCTGGGAAAGAATTCCTGTTCAAGAAGGAAAAATGCATTTGGATTGTGCTCATTTTCCACACAGGGATTGAGACGGGGAAGCGGTGGGTGGGGTTATACAAGTCTGAACTATGTGTCATGGACCAAACTGGTTCTGGTTTTGTTCAGGGTGTAAAAGTTTGATTCATGACTCCATTGTGAAGATTTTGCTCAAAACTCATATTTTCCCTTCTGGGAAGAGGGCTGTTTAACAAGCTCCTCATTTAAAGTGCTTTCTGATGGTGCTTAGTACAAAAAGCTGAACAATTTTATTTATTTATTTTTTTTCTGCTTGCAGGGTCCAGTAAAGCTCAAGTATGACAGAACTGTTCCCCCGACACCTGCTGTTAAAAGCTGTTTCTAGGGAAACTCAGAGGTAATGAAAAATAAACATCACCCCAGGACAGACTGTCGGGACTGGACGCTGAAACTGAACAGCCCTCATGCTCTGCTTTGAAATATATATATATATAACTTTCATAATTAGTTACACTGACCTCTCTCAGGTAGTTATCAGTTAATATTCTTTATCTTTCCTATATATCAGCCTATATATTTTAAAGTAATTTCATTTCTTTGTTTTTAATTCGCGTTCACTCTTTTGCTGTCTTTAATTTGTATTCACTCCGTTTTGAGAAAGTTTGAGAACATCCTACCTCGTCCCTTTTCATTAAAGCTCTTATAGAAGAAGAGTCAGGGGACATGATTAGATTCGGTTATTCGAGGAGATTGTAGTAGCAGCTGAACAATTTTATTTATTTATTTTTTTTCTGCTTGCAGGGTCCAGTAAAGCTCAAGTATGACAGAACTGTTCCCCCGACACCTGCTGTTAAAAGCTGTTTCTAGGGAAACTCAGAGGTAATGAAAAATAAACATCACCCCAGGACAGACTGTCGGGACTGGACGCTGAAACTGAACAGCCCTCATGCTCTGCTTTGAAATGTCAACAGCATTTTCTTTCTTTATGCCAGGAGATTGTGTTTGCAAGCAGACTGGCACAAAATCAAGAGCTGACACTGGAATTATGAATTTGAGCAAGAATAGATGTCAAAGCCAGTGTTTGCATCTGTTCTTTTCACAATACAACAATTCTTATGGTATTAGCATGTGTATTATTTTATGTATTCTACCATGGAGTAAATACAAGGTCTTTAATAACACTGAAAAATGGTGTAGGATTTATTTCTAAACAATTGTCACTCAGAAATTGCTTGTAAATTTCACAAATAATTACAGTACCACATTAATGTGAAATTATGAGACTAAGACAGTATTTTCGTTCAAAACATGCTCCAATAAACTTTTAATTTACAGCGTGTAAAAACTTTTTTTTTTACAGTATTTACAATGTTTCAATATCGAAGAAGGCATTGATATCTCAGGGGTTTTAAAATGTAAAAAAAAAAAAACGTTAAAAAGTACATGCACTACTTCTGTCATAGACCTACATATTAAATGTATATCACAAAAATATAGATATTTAAAAAATAAATAAAAAATCTTTAAGAGCATTTGCCTTGCTACAATATTTTTAGTTTCCCGAGATGAACCCCGAGACAGACACTCGCTGCGTAATTTGTGCTACTTTAAAAAAAAAAAAATTAAATACTGTTTTTTTGTTTGCAAGAGTCAAACATATGTCCATGGCTGTTGCACTGGGATTTGAAAATGGCTTGTCAAAGTTAAACTTTAATAAACGTTCCGGTTTATTTTGGAACGCTGAACGCGTCCTTTGTGAACGCCCCCTTGAGTCTACGCGTGCTATCAATCTTGCGTGTGTGTGTTTTACTCGAGATTAATGTGTTGTATGATGATGATGAGGAGGGCGGATTCAGTTCTCAAAGCAGCTCATTCTCTCTTTCTGTAAACGCAGCTCTCTCTTTCCCTCTCTCTCTTCTGTACAGCGCAGGTTTGTTCCAGTGGAAATATTTCGTGTTTCAGTGCATCGCTGACGAATCTATTCTGGATATTTTCTGCATCACTTTTGCGTGAATTATTTGTAAACATGAAAGTTCCACTCTGTTTTTTTTTTTCAATGAATCAGTTGACCCATTTCAAAAACCTAGTCTAAATGATTAATTCACAAATAGGTCTGATCCAGTTCTCCAGTTCAACTCACTGACTTTTGATCGATTTTACTCATTTAAAATTTTTATTTAACCAACCAAATAACTTAACTCATTGGGAAGGAATGAAAACTATTAAGAATAATTAAAAATAAATGCCATGGATTACATCAGAATAATGATACATAATAGACATGATGTATTAGAAAAAACATCAATTCTAAAAAGCTTGCTAAGATAAAATAATGGAATTATTGGTCATTATTTAAAAAACAGAATTGTTGGACTTTACTGTGCAAGAGTCATATGGACTGCTTTTGTGGGGCTTTTATTGCTTTTCATTTTATTGGTCGTTTTGGTTGTTATTGGAGTTTGACAGCTGTGGTCACTATAAACTCTCACTGTACAAAAAAAAAATGAGTGAAATATTTCTACATTCTTGGAAAAGTAACAGTATATGCATTTGGAAGAACATGACATCATTCATTCACTGTTCCATTATTTCTCGCTGTCTCTGTTTCGCTCTCTCAGTGATAGACATGTTGAGTTTGGAGGATGTGAAGCAGACCGTGGCTGCGGTGGAGAAGATCTCTTTAGCTCTGAAGACTCTCAGTGATGTGTATGTGATGTCTTCCTTCCGTCTGCCTCCTAAACTGGGTGGAGTTCTGCTGGGCCTCTACAACAAGCAGGATAACAAGAAATACCTGGAGGTCGCCATCATGAGCAAGATTAACAAAGGTAATGACCTTTTTCTGTAATCTATAATCAGAATCAACTTGCTTTTTCTCTGAAACAGCTTTTCTTTTCTGTTGACTTCACTGCATATGCTGTTGTATAATGTTGACCAACAGCCAACGGCATGTTGCTGGTTGTTTCAACATACTTGCATTCAGATTTGGCTCCATTTTGATATGGAATGCCCATCAAATCATTTTTGAAATAAATAAAATCAAGTCCTGCCCTACATTTTCTTATTGAATATTCTTTTTCACTTGTAAATACATCACACCACAGAGATCAAATAGGTTGCGGATATGGTGTCTCCTCAGAACATCTCTAAAAGGTTTGTTTTACTCTAGTTCTGGTCCGGTATGTTCGTGAAGATGGGAAGCTGCACACAGTAAACCTGCAGAGCCCAAATCTGGCAGACGGACGGTCTCAGTCTGTTATTCTCCGTGTCGGTGGCCTGCGCAGAGAGTACCTGAGCCTCGAGCTCTATGTGAACTGTCGTCTGGCTGACTCTGCCCAGCGGCTGCCCTTATTGGTCGCTCTGCCCAGAGATGCAGAGCTGGTGGAGATTCGTAATGGCCACAAGGCATACACTCGGATGCAGGTGAGACCAACATAATCTGACTATGGTAATATGAGTTTCACAACACCTGCACTACCATTCAAAAGTTTGGGCTCTGTATTATTTTGTAATGTTTTTTAAAGTTTCTTATGCCAGTGCTGCATTTATTTGATCAAACATTCAGTGAAAATTCAGTGAATTTATATTTCAATATTTAAATAAGTGAAATAGTGCTCAAGAAATATATTATCAATACAAACAGTTGTGCTATATAATATTTTTGTGGAAACTGTGATACTTTTTTCCCCCATTGATAAATGTAGTCCAAAAGAACATAATTTATTTGAAATAGAAATATTTTGTAATAATGTAAAAGCCTTTACTATTTTGACCGATTTAATGCATTTCTTGCTGAATAAAAATATAAATTTCTTTAAAAAAAATATTACTGGCCCCAGATTTTTGGACAGTAGTGTGTATTAATATTTTTTTCCATGGAAGGCAGAAATGTGAACATGATATGAACTGTGCATATTCTTCAGAAATTCTTCTTTTTGAGTTTCAATGAAACAATAAAGAATTCAGGTTTTCATTGAGTAAACTATTCCTTTAATTTTTAATGAAAAAAGAGATTAGTTGTTGTGATTGGTTAAGAACTGAAGTCCAGATATCAAGACTCCTATTATATCAAATACTATAATCAAATGTTTTTCGTCCAGGGTTCAGTGGAGTATCTTAAACTGGCACTAGGGGGCACTGTTGCCCAGGCTGGGGCTCTTACCGACTGCCCCTTTCAGGGGGACGCCTCTTCATATAACATAGGTTAGCCAACATCAACACAAGATTGTACATGGAGCTTGAATATGTGGTTTTTGATTGCCTGCAAAATCTTTCTCTGAAATATGTTTTGTTTCAATTTTGTTTTTCAGTGAACGGCGAGGTTAATTCTATTCTAGGTGAGTGGACATTGGTGAAGTCACCATATGTAATTTGTTACTTTTGTATTTATTTAATTTGAAGATATTTGATACCTTTTTGTACAGGTGACCACACTAAAGCTCTGATTGGCCAGCTGATCATCTTTAATCAGATCTTGGGAGAGCTGAGAGAGGACATCAGAGAACAGGTATGAGTGAGTTAGTGTATATATGTGAGGGAATCTGTTCTGAACATGTTTGATTTATGTGTTTTTGCATTATTTAGGTGAAAGAAATGTCTCTCATCAGGAATGCTATTCTGGAGTGCCAGATGTGTGGTGAGTAGCAACGTCAAATCATCAAACCCATCCAGACATGGGCTGCAGTCAGACAGCAAAAAAAAAAAAAACGGTTTTCAGTCCTATTTGTAGTGCTAATAGCTGGGTTAAGAAAGACAATAATAACCAGAACAACAGGCGACAACTAGTTGTTTGTCATGCCTTTGTAAAGGATTCCTGACAGGATTCCTCTTGATAGATTTATATTATTATTATTATTATTATTATTATACAAACTCTTTATTACATGGGATCAGAGAGTTAGTAAAAACACTACCATTCAAAACTTTGTGGTTCAATTGTAATTTAAAATAACTATTTTCTGTTTCAATCCAATTTATTCCTGACGACAAAGCTGAATTTTCAGCATAATTACTCCAGTCTTTAGTGTCACATGATCCTTCAGAAATCTTTGTAATATGCTGTTTTGCTGCTCAAGAAACATTTCTTCTTATTATTATCATCATCATCATCATCATCACCATCATTATCATCGTCATGTTGAAAACAGCTGTGCTGCAAAAAATTTTTGAGGAAGCCATAATCATTTTTTTTTTTTCATTTTGATTCTAAGAGGAAGATTGAGATTAGATGAGATTTAAGATGATATTTTTTTAGTTTTGTTAAATGTCTTTTGATCAATTTAATGCATCCTTGCTAAATATAAAAGTATTAATTTCTTTACCAAAAAAAAACAATCATACTAACCCCAGACTTTTGAACTGTAGTATTTAATTATTTTTTGCCTGCATATTATTTGAGAGGATGGAATCATCAGCAGTGTCAAAAAAATG